CTTTCCTGCAGACCTATTCCCACGAGGTCTCCCTGACCGCGGACTCGCGGAAGAGTCACGTGATCTTCCCCCAGCCCAACTACGCGGACACGCTCATCAGCCAGGAGCGCTGTGGGAAAAAGGATCCTTTGTCTTTGTTAGATGATTCGAAGTTTCCTGTAGAAGATACCCCTTTGGTTCCAGTGAGTTCTAGTTTTACTCTCCTTTTAAGAATTATAATTGGCATTACTTTTAGGTTTACAGCATAATGATAGAAAATTCCGATCTTTATTGTTTCACTTTTTTTCCGTTTTAATGTTATTTGTTTCTTGCTAAAACAATGAAGAGTAGAACTTGATGGTTATTGAAGTTGGTATGTTTTAACTTTCTGGTCAATAGTCACCTATTCCCAATGAAGGGCTGTGGTCACAGGCTGTTATGATTTGCCTTGCAGAATCTTCTGTTTTATAGTTTTGTTGAATATAATATGACAATTCCTGAGAGGATTTCCATACAGAAGTGTCTCTCAATTTATGTGCACTTCTTTTGGCCACGTGCTGAAATCCTAGCCCCTTAGGCAACCCTAGCTCTTGTTTTGAAGGCGGGTCTGGTAAGAATAGGTGAATATCAGAAACAAATGCATTAGCTTCACTGGAAACAATGCCAATACAAGGCGCCTCACGACACCACTTCTCAACACCTTTGTGGTTTTATTTTTCAAACTTTACCTTGTAGCGACAGTTACAGTTGAATATGCTTCCTAGAGAGATTTGAATTTTTCATTAATATTTTATTAACAAATGATAACACCGTGTGCTTAAATTTTTCCATCATTGGTAACAAGGCAGCATCCTTTCTGCTTGTGATTCTAATTTCATACTGTTATGTGAAAGACATAGCGTTTTAATTTGACTTTCCTTGCTCAGTATGGATTCTAGAGAACGTACAGAAGGTTAAATGAAGCAAATTTTGGGTTCTGCTGTCAGCATTTTTTGTTAAATTCTCCGATCTCTAAGGCTGAAAAAATATAGACTTGGGAGACAGATTTGTACATGTTCCCAAGAACAGCTGCAAAAGATGTGTGCCAACAGTATTTCAGTGGCTCTTCAATGTAGAAGAAAGAAGACCCACCTGAATATCTGAAAACTCTGAAATTAAGTCACAATAAGCAAAGTCAAGAAAGAAATATCACTTCTGTGGGAGATCTGAATATAAGCAGAGAAGTACACAAAATTATTCTAAACAAATGATCAGTAGAGTTACTAATGAGTCCATTAGTGATGATGGTGATGTATTTGGTTTGATATCTTACTTTTATTTTATTTAATTGACAGAGAGAGATAGTGAGAGCAGGAACACAAGCAGGGGAAGTGGGAGAGGGAGAAGCAGGCTTCCTCAAGCAGGAAGCCTGATGCAGGCCTCGATGCCAGAACCCTGGGATCATGACCTGAGCTGAAGGCAGACGCTTAACACACCCAGGCACCCCTGATATCTTACTTTTAACTTATTATTAATATTCTTCTAAACTAATATGGATGCATAAAGTCAAAGAATGCCCTAATGTGTCTCAAAATACTTATGAGACCATGACATGTCATCCAACATTTGTTGAACAATAGGTCTGTGGAAGGAGAGCACATCCTTTTGGGTTGTAGTTATTAGCTTACATCATGGACACAGACATTTTAAATTTCTGGCTTTGGGAGAGTCAAAATTATTATGCATCTATTGGAAATAATTTTATTGTTCTGAAAAACACAGGTTTTTTTTTTTTAAAAAAACTCTTTTGACATGGTAGCTATTGTAACCAAGTGTTTTTAAGTATTATTACATCAAAGCAGTACAGAATACTCTAGATGATTGTAATGAATATGGGAGTTACTGCCTTCTAGTTCCTCAATATGGAGGATGGATTAATACTTTCCAGCTAAATATAAGCTAGGACTGAAGATGAAAAAGTTTTTTGCTTATCTTCAGTACTAGCTTTTGTGGATAACTACTTTTAAAAGGAACAATAGTGATTGCCTCTGGATGGAAGAACTGGATAGCAACGAGCCATGGGATAGAAGACCTACTTTCCTCTCTATATTCTTCTGTGCTTTTTTGAATTTTGAAAATCATTTTACCTGTTCAAAGTTTATGTAAATTTTTAACATATAAAACATATGATAGTTTTGACCATGTGAAACATGTTTCATGATGAAAATGAAATCAATGAGAAATAAGATTCAATATTTTAGCTGGTATCACCTAACATTTTAAAAAAAGATTTCCTGGGGTGCCTGGCTGGCTCAGTCGGTAGAACATGCAACTCTTGATCTTGGGTTTGTGGGTTCGAACCCCACGTCAGGTGAAGAGATTACTTAAAATTAAAATGTTTTTAAAAATTAAAAAATTAAAAATAAAAAGATTTCCTGAAATAGAGAAAAACTATATTGCGGTTCCACACAAAGCCTCTGGGCGCCGCTGTCGGCCAGTACAGGGCAAGTGATGTCGCCCGGGATTCCTCAGCCTCTAGCCTGGGTTTTCCTGTGCTGGCAACAACATAAAGAGAAAGAACCCGCTTCCACACCGGGTTCCGGGCTGCGCAGACTTTCCCCAGCATACAAAGATTCCCAGCCCCAAGACTGGAGGGTCTGTATGTTCTGGGACGAAAGCTACCAGTGTGATAGCGTGCACTTTCTCCAGCTCGAGAGACTGGGACCCAGTGAGAACTAGAGCGCGCAATGGGAGGGAGCTGTGTTCAGAGGCGCCCCGCCGGCAGGCTGCAGGTACTGTTTCCCTTCCTGCTACCTTTGTTCTACCCCACACTCTGCGAGCCAATCCGCTACTCCATTCCCGAGGAACTGGCCAAGGGCTCGGTGGTGGGGAATCTCGCCAAGGATCTCGGGCTCAGCGTCCTGGATGTGTCGGCTCGGAAGCTGCGAGTTAGCACAGAGAAGCTGCTCTTCAACGTAGATGCGGAGAGCGGGGACTTACTGGTGAAGGACCGAATAGACCGTGAGCAGATATGCAAAGAGAGAAGAAGATGTGAGTTGCAGTTGGAAGCCGTGGTGGAAAATCCTTTAAATATTTTTCATATCATTGTGGTTGTTGAGGATATTAATGACCATGCCCCTCAGTTCCATAAAAATGAAATAAATTTAGAAATCAGTGAATCTGTCACCCCGGGGACCAGAACAATTCTTGAGTCCGCAGAAGATCCTGATATTAGCATGAATTCACTGAGCAAATACCAATTAAGTCCTAATGAGTATTTCTCCTTGGTGGTGAAAGACAGTCCTGATGGTGGCAAATATCCAGAATTAGTATTGAAGAAGACCCTGGACCGAGAAACACAAAGCTCTCATCATCTGGTGCTGACAGCCTTAGACAGTGGGGATCCACCACGAAGCAGCACAGCTCAAATCCAAATCCTGGTGGTGGATGCCAATGATAACCCCCCAGTGTTCAGCCAAGATATGTACAGGGTCAGTCTTCGGGAAGGCGTGCCCCCAGGCACTTTGGTGGTGAAGGTGAGCGCCACTGACCGAGATGAAGGCTTCAATGCTGAGATCACCTACTCATTCCTTGGTGTAGCTAATAAAGCCCAGCACGTGTTCTCTCTGGATTCTGCTACAGGAAACATTATAACTCATCAACCCTTGGATTTTGAAGAAGTAGAAAGATATACCATGGATGTAGAAGCCAAAGACCAAGGATCCCTCTCTACACAGTGTAAAGTAATTGTAGAAGTTCTAGACGAAAATGACAACAACCCTGAAATAATCATCACTTCTCTCTCTGATCAGATTTTGGAGGATTCCCATCCAGGAATGGTTGTGGCTCTCTTCAAAACACAGGACCAGGATTCTGGGGAAAATGGAGAAGTCACATGTAATTTAAGCAGAGATATTCCGTTTAAGATTCATTCTTCATCTAATAATTACTACAAGCTGGTGACAGATGGACCCCTAGACCGAGAACAGACTCCGGAATACAATGTCACCATAATAGCCACTGACAGGGGCAAGCCGCCCCTCTCCTCCAGCACTACCATCACCCTGCACATCACCGACGTCAATGACAACGCGCCGGTTTTCCATCAGGCCTCCTACGTGGTTCACGTGGCCGAGAACAATCCTCCAGGCGCCTCTA